CACCCCGTGCCCCTTCTCCCCAGCCATGAGGGGGAAGAACCCCCGGGTCAGTCCTGACCTGTAGCGATGCACGAAGACGCCCTTGAAGATGGCATTCATCATGTTCTCGATCTCCTCCTGCTGCTCCCGGAGCTGGGAAGGGACACAGTGGGCCTCAGATGGGGCCTGGACCCCCCCATCATCCAGTCCCCACCCCGCCATGGCCACCCCTCACCTCCTGGCGCTTCTCCAGCAGGGCCTCCAGCTTGTTGGTGGCCTGGCGGCCGGGCTCCTTGCCCCGCTCGGCCTCGTACTGCCGCTGGTTGTTCTCCTGGTGCAGCCTCACGCCCAGCGCCACGTCCACCAGCGCCGTCATCAGCTTCATGGCTGAGGAATCACAGAATCACTCTAAAAGACCCTTTGGGATCATCGAGTCCAACCATCAACCCAACTACAAAGTTCTCCCCTACACCACGTCCCCCAACACCACATCTAAACAGCTCTTAAACACGTCCAGGGATGGCGACTCAACCCCCTCCCTGGGCAGGTTATTCCAATGTCCAACCACTCTTGCTGTGAAAAACTCTTTCCTGATCTTCAGTTTAAACCTACCCTGTTGCAGCTTGAAATCATTCCCTCTCGTTCTATCGCTAATTACTTGGGAGAAGAGACCAGCACCAACCTCTCTACAGTGGCCTTTCAAGTAGAGAGAGATGAGGTGTCCCCTCAGCCTCCTCTTCCTCAAACTAAACAGTCCCAGCTCCTTAAATCGCTCTTCCTACCATTTATTCTCCAGGCCCTTTCTCAGCTCCGTTGCCCTCCTCTGCCCCAGCTCCAGCACCTCCAGATCTCTCTTGGATGGAGGTGCCCCCAAAACTGGACAAAACACTCCAGAAGAAGTGAGGGGGCAGGTGGGAGGGAGCCAGGAGGGGGGGGTACCCCCATGGGGAGACCCCCCCCATCCCAATCCTGGGGAGCTGCCTTACCTGCCAGGGAGCTGGTGTGACGGAAGGCCCGCACCTGGGAGTCGGAGAGGCTGGTGAGGAGGGAGATGAGGGAGTCCATCAGGAACTCGTCGTAGACCACCCCGTACTGGCAGCACCGCACCACAGCGGCCACCAACTCGCAGAAACCGGCTCGGAAGCGGCGCCAGGGCTGGGTGCTCAGCGAGATGGGGTACTCGGCCGAATCCTGGGGGTGGGGGGAGACGGGGGTGAGGCAGGATTCTGCCCCACGGGCACCCCCCCCAATCCCCATCCCCATCCCTGTGCTCCCCCGGCACCTCCTCGAACTTCTCCGTCAGCTGCTGGATGATCTCCGAGTTCTGCAGGTTCCTGAACATCTCCAGGGTCACCACGCCTGCCGGGGGGGAGAAAGGGGGGCTGCGGTGGAACAGGGGTCCCCGGGCTCAGGAGGGACGACACACCCCCACCAGCAGCACAGAGGGGACAGGGCACCCCCGTCAAGGGGAACCCCCACCTTTGCAGCCACAGGAGCGGATGAAGAAGTTGGCGAGCTCCAGGAACCCCATCTCCTGGTCCTGCTTGTAGGTCTCCAGCCACTCATCCACCACCGTCTGCGAGCAGAGGACACCACGGGTGGCTGGGGACACCCCGGGGAGGGACACCCCAGGGATGGGATCCCATCCAGACGGACCCGGACCGCCTGGAGAAGGAAGGGGGGAGGGCCGGGCCGTGCCCACCCCCCCTTGGTCACAGTGTGGGGTGGGGGGGTTACCTCAATGGCGATCTTGGCCGACCTGACGGCCTCAAAGAGGGTGTTTTCCTCCGGGCTGTCAGTGGCCGGGCTGCTCCCGGCCCCGCTGGGCTCCTTCCTCCGGGGACGCTTGGAGACCTTGGGGGGGGACATACAGGGGGAGAGGTCGGGAGCCAGC